GCCTCATCTTCTATGCTTGAGCTTCCAATATAAGATGATAATCCTCTACAAGCTCAGCGATTAACGAAAGACCATCCAATACATCAAATTCTTGGTGATCCAAGTGCAGGTATTCAGATACGACATGGTCTAGGTAATATATGTCTCTTTGTCAACTTTCTTTCTTTAGTTGAGCCCAAGAAGATCAGTGAGGCTATCACTGACTCTAGTTGGGTCAATGTTATGCAAGAGGAACTCAGTGAGTTTGATAGGAACCAAGTCTAGTACCTTATCTAGCGTCCATGTGAAAAACTGTAATATGCACCAAGTGAGTTGATAACAATAAGTTAGATGAACAAGGAATTGTGACCCGAAATAAGGCTCGTCTTATTGCTCAAGGCTATAGGCAAGAAGAAGGGATCGACTATGATGAAACCTTCGCACCAATGGCTAGACTCGAAGCTATTCGACTCTTTCTATCCTTTGTTGTCCATAGGGACTTCAAAGACTTTCAAATGGACGTAAAGAGTGCTTTTCTAAATGGAAGTCTTCAAGAGGAAGTTTATGTTGAACAACCTCCAGGGTTTCTTGAACCCAAGTATCAAATCATGTCTATAGATTGGATAAAGCTCTTTATGGGTTAAAACAGTCCCCTCATGCCTGGTATAATACCCTCTCCTCATTTCTCATTTCTAAGAAATTTGTTCGTGGAAATATTAACTAGATCTTGTTTCTCAGGAAAGTTAAAGGTCACATCATTCTAGTCCAAATTTATGTCGATAATATAATTTTTGGTTCCACTAATCTCTTTTTATGTTTTCGGTTCGCTGAACACATGAAGAAATAGTATCAGATGAGCATGATGGAAGAACTAACTTACTTTCTAGGTCTCCAGATTAAACAATCAGATAAAGGTATCTTTATCAACCAGAGTAAGTATGTTCGCGACATGCTGAAGAAGTTTGATCTAACCAACAGCTCATTTATGAAGACTACAATGGCTCCTCCTCTCTCATTGAACAAGGATCCAAATGGTTAGCCTATAAACGTTACTATTTATAGAGGAATGATCGGCTCCCTACTGTATCTCACTGCAAGTCGTCCATATATTATGTACTCTACTGGTTTGTGTGCATGATATCAATTTGAACCTAAGGAGTCCCATCTGATTGCTGTAAAATGCATCTTTAGATATCTTAAGGGAACTCCAAATCTGGGCCTTTGGAATCCTAAGGACTCAGGTTTTGACCTTATTGGTTATTCGGATAGTGATTTTGCAGGTTGCAAAATTGATAGAAAAAGCACCATTGAAGGCTGCCAGCTTCTAGGTGGAAAGTTGGTGAGTTGGACAAGTAAGAAACAAAACTCAGTGTTCACGTCAACTGCTGAAGCTGAATATGTTGCTAGTCGAAGTTGTTGTGCTAAAATCTTATGGATGAAAAACCAGTTCAACAACTATGATCATCAGCTCTCAAAGATCCCTATCTACTGTGATAGCACCAGTACTATTGATATTGCAAACAACCCTATTATCCACTACAAGAACAAACATATTGAGATCAAATATCATTTTATCCGAGATCATGTTATGAATAATAATATTAAACTTAACTTCATACCTACTGAGTACCAACTCGCTGACCTTTTTATAAAGCCTCTTGATGAGACAAGATTTAACATCTTGATCAGCTTGCAATGCTAAACGTTGAGGATTAATTCCTCCAGATCTAAGCAATACTCAGTGTTGGGTCATTGACCAGCATCTTCCTAAATCAAAACGTGGTGTTGGCTGCTACGCTATAAGGAAATAAGTTGCGCATTCTCCACTAGAAATTGCTTTTGGCATGGTGGTAAGCGCTTGGATCCTATCATGTGGTATCAAAGCAGGTCACGGGTTCGAATCCCATGGAGTGCATAATAATGCCAAAGGCATGCTGTGCAGCCATTGACTTCTAGCGAAGATCTTGTTAGTGCTGGCAGATGGTAGGGGGGATTGTTGGGTCATTGACCAGCATCTTCCTAAATCGAAACGTGGCGCTGGCTGCTACGCTATAAGGAAATAAGTTGCGCCTTCTCCACTAGCAATTGCTTTGGGCATAGTGGTAAGCGCTTGGATCCTAACACTCAGTGATACATAAGTGAAATGATTCAATGTTCTCACTTTATCACTGAACTCTTGAGTAAATGTATCTCTCTCTCTCTAAGGTATGTATATTTATCTTCTTTTCTAAATCTTAAAATTATCACTGAAAATTTTTTAAATTTTCAATCGTTCTTTCTATCAATGAACCTTTTAAGTAACTATAACTCTAAGGTATACTTGTCTTTTCTTAAAACAAAACCATCACTGACTCTTTTTCTTACTCAGTGATAATATTGTTTTAAAAGTGAAATTTCTTCAGTGATTATCTTTATCACTGAACCTTTCAAACTTATATCTTATTTCAAAAGATATATTCTTTTCTTAAAACTATTACTGAATCTTTTCTATTCAATGATCCTTATGTTTTAAAAGACTTAAAAGTTTCACTACCTTCTTTCCTTATCCAGTGATTGTTTAAAAGAAAATGATAATGAACGGTCATATTTCTTATGACGTAATTAATTCTTTTTATTTAAAAATGGTTTCGAGACGCACCCGTCCCTCTAACACATGCTATCCATTAGTATTCCATCCAATCAAGGATGAGGACGTGCAAACACTTTCATCATTGCACATCTTTTCAAGAGTCATTTTTCCCCTCTCCTCTTTTTCCTCTCTCCTCTTACCTATAAATACGTGAGATAACTTCTCCTATTTTTCTTTACGTTTACAAAATATCTCAAACGAACTTTTTCTCTCAAGATACTCTGCAAAGCAAGAACCAAGAACTTTCAAAAACCTTCAACCATTTCTACCTTCTTCAAGAACTTAAGGTTGATAAATTTGTTTTATTTTGAACTGTTGTTCTCCTTCTATGAAACTTTATTGGACATTTAAGAACTTGTTTTCTTAAATAACGAACAAACACATTAATGATTTATTCGAATACTTGATTATAATCTAAGTTTCAATACACCTAATCATCTTGGAAAACCCTAATATTATTCCGGATATTTCAAAAGAAGTTTTTCTTTAAAAACTTAAAGAATAACATTCTAACAAACCCTTGCATTATCTTCTATTTTATCTTTCTTATAAACAAAAATGGCAGCCAATAGTGTAAACTTAGTCGTTGATGAAGTGTCCTTCAAGCCAAACAACCACGTTGGCCTTCTAGACATCCCAATCAAAAAACCCCACTTCGAGGATGCGGCCAACTTCCTAAGCAACTCCCCAATCGGCCATGCACTGACATTTCAACCCATAATGGTCAAAGAACTTCTTTAGCAGTTTTGGTTCACTGCTGAAGTAAAGCAAGAGACTTACAAAACTGGAAACTAGGTGGAGAAAATCTCCTTCACCTTTACCAGAATGACTGTAATTTTTGATATTCCAACTCTGAGGATGACCCTTCAACTGCCAAAGGGTCCCTACACCAATGAACCCTCCACTGAAGATACCATCACCTTCCTTGATGATATTGGCTACCAATGGCCATCCAAGAAGGACTCCAGCAAACCCCTCAAGTCACTGTCAAAGATTGAGAAGAACTGCATGTCTGGGGTATGGCAATTCATGTTCTCCCATTTCATCCAGTGTATGGGAGGCAATACGTGTGGACAGGACCAGGCCTCAAGGGTGGTTCTCAACATTGGCGTCTACATTATACGCCAAATGACGACCAAATATGCTGGTGTGATTTTTGAAGACCTGGCGTTGAAGCTGAACAAACGCCAATGAGAAAAGGTGATGCCTTACACCAGATTCATGTGCATGGTATTTGCAAAGATCTTTGGCAACAAATACCCCACAGAAGGCAACATGCCTATTTGTAGGCTTGGGTTTAGAATCTTGGACCACAAGTCTAAACCTGTAGATATTGGTTTGTTTGTACCAATGCTCGCCATCGCCCATGGCACAGGTATGTCCTCTACCCCTTCTTCTCTCCCACGGTGGTCAAGACTGAGGCAAACCCCCCTCAGTCTATCCCAACCACCACCACCATATCCCCCAAGAGGACCTCTTCTCAAGCCCATCTTGGTCCTTCTTTAAGGACCAAAAAATCCAAAAGGGGGGGATCCAAATTGCTGATTGTTACCTCCCAATAGGTTTCAGTCATTGAAACAAGTCTTATCCCCGAGGCACTCTCTCTTCTACCCCCACCAAGCTCTTCAATAGTCTCTACAGACACTGTCGTATAAGTAGCTATTTACCCAAACCGCCTCAGTGACCCAAATCACTGAAGGTATGAATATCAGCACTGCCACTGCTGAACACTCACTACCACCTCTCTCAGCCATTCTATCCTATCCTCCCTTGGTCTCAACACATGTTGGTGATTCTTCAATAGTTTTCTCTGCTGGTGATGAAGCAATCACCACAGGACCTGAGGTAACTCTTCTCGAGGTGCCTCAGTCACAGGACGCCTATCCTCACGAAGGCGATTTCCAGACAACCAACACCAATTTTCATTTCTTCTAACCAATAGCCTTCTTATGCTCAAAATATTAATTCTTTTCCAGGTCCTTTCGCAACAGAACCTTCAGCCATGAAAACGGATGTCTATGATATGGATGAGGATGTGAAACTCCTTCTCCCTATTGTCGCCACTGTCTTGGGCAAGATGGATCAAGTCCACCAAGACATGCCCAATAAAGAAGACTCTCCTCAGGCCTCTCTGCTGTCAAAGCTGAAGTCAATAAGGTGAAGGAGTTGCTGATCCTGGTGCAAGTTGATGTACGCACCAACATTGAGGCCATCATTGCTTTAAATAAAAAGACCGATGAAGTCCAAGTCAGCTCGCCAGGAATGGTGAGCTGATGGAGCAGATTTTGGTGCTTCTACAACATCCAACCCTGGTCCCTAAACAATCTTTCACAGATAATGATCGTCAGACTCTGGACTGCAAACTGAGGTTCTATCAAACCTCGAGCTTCACATGGATGATCTTCTTCAACGTCTTAAAGATCTCATCTCTTCTCTTGATGGTGAAAAAGAGGGGGAGAAAGAGCTACATGTTGTTGAGGAACCTGCCGCTAATGTTGAAGCTGTTGTTGCCGTTGAAACTGAGGCTCCTCAATCCTTAATCCCTCAGTCTAAGGATGCCGTCACTTTCTATGACGCTGAAGCTAAGGATGATGATGATGTCTTCATAGCTCCTATTGATGATGAAGACCTTCCTATCACCTCTACAGCTAATGCTGGTGATGAGGAAAGGGAGGAAGACGATGATGAAGAAGATGAAGACCTTCCCTTGCCTGATGCTGGACAAGACTTAGGTGATGATGATGATGATGAAGACGATGATCACGACGAATTCACCATTCAATAACTAGGCCTGTACCAACATAAAAAAGAGTCTCTCTGTTAGGACTGAAAATCAGTGTTAAATTGTATTCGTCTTGAAAGATAAAATTGTCTATAATTGTATAAGTCATCGTGTTTGACTTTGTTTTAGTTAGTTTGACTTTGACTAGAGGCTTTCAAGTCTGACCCTATATAAAGGGTTTATTCTTTGTAATTTTGAAAAGGAGCTCCATTGTAAAATCTCAGTTACGTAATATAGGGTTTGACCAAGATTGAAGGTTTGACTTTTCCTCTCAAACTCTCTCAACTCTCCTCTCATGTTCTTCAAGGTTAAATCATAACTCTGCCATGGATTCTTGAGTTTTTATTGAAGATTGATCAATACACTACAAAAATGCTGGGTATCAGCGAGGGAAAATTCCCTCGCTGATCCGTCGCTGAAAGGGGTCTCCGTCGCTGATCCGTCGCTGATACTCCGTCGGTCAAACAGTCATAGGTAATGCTATCAGCGACAGATCAGCGACGGATTTGCGACGGACACTTTCAGCGACGGATTAGCGACGGATGTATTTAGCGACGGATCAGCGACGGATTTGCGAGGGAACTTTCAGCGACGGATTTGCGAGGGAATTATCAGCGACGGATTTGCGAGGGAACTTTCAGCGACGGATTTGCGAGGGAACTTTCAGCGACGAATTTGCGAGGGAAATTCAAGCACTTTCAGCGACGGATTTTCCCTCGCTAATCCGTCGCTAATTTTTAAAAAATTAAAAAACAAATTTTTTAAAAATACATAAATCCTGTATTTATTTTTAAAAAACCTKAAAATAATAATATATAACAAATCAAATCTATGAACAAAAGTAACCAATTTATACGATTTAAAATATGGATTCATACAATTTAAAATATTCAATTCATACAATTTAATCTTCGAATRCATACAACCTAACTATCGGGATCTACCCTATTCTTCCGTTCGGTCTCGAGTTTCTCTTCTACCCTTGAAATCAAATTTCTTCAAATTTCTTCAAATCACCTCGAAATCTGTAATCGAAGAGTCAAATCAGAAGCTAGAMACATTCGAATCAAAAGAGCAAGAAACTAACAAATTTCTGATGAAATCGAAAGCACMAAATTATCAAATGTTGTCGATTGATTTGAAACGTACCTGATGAAGTCCCGGAAATTTGAAGAAATGAAGATGGAGAGTGTGATGTTGTTCATTTGAGAGTTTTGTATATATAGTGGGTGATTTTGGGGATGGATGACAATGGACGGTCTTGAT